GGCAGCTGGTGGAGTCCGACATCAACGGCCTGCGCAGGATCCTGGATGAGCTGACCCTGTGCAAGTCTGACCTGGAGGCCCAGGTGGAGTCCCTGAAGGAGGAGCTGCTCTGTCTCAAGAGGAACCATGAGGAGGTAAGACCGGAAATTCCCAGCCTCAAGCTAAGGGAGCTTTAGGGATTTGGAGAAGCAGAATCAGAAGTACAGGTATGAAGTTGAAGTGCCTTTATGAATTCCTTTAACAAAGAAAAACCACCATGGCCTCATAATGAAAGAGAAATTTGAGATAAAACCTGCTCATGTTCCCACGCAAGATATTTTCCATTCCAAAACCTTGTACATCTTGGTTTCTTACAACACCTCTCTTAGCCACTAACTGGTCATCAAATTGGAGAATGGGGCCCAGGAATGAGATATTTGTACCATGCAAAGAAATTCATTTTTTTTAAACCAAAAATCAGAAAGTCAAGGCTAATGCATACATACCTCCACTGTTCTTGGAGACACTCTTTCTATCTCCCAGAAGGGGCCATGATATCATTTTACTTCTTACTTGGCAAGAACGGATTGATATAGAATCTGAAGTTGTACGGCCAATTCTTTGCCTTCTGAGCTTCTCACAGCTAGTCTTTAATCTGGGAATTAAGTCTTTACTCTGACTGCCTGCTTCACTGATTGCTGAGGCAATTCATTGGAACTGTTCTGTGGACCAAACGCCACAGCACAGCCTGGGCACGGAAGGAGGTGTGCCATTTGGAGTGCACACCATTTGGCCCTGAGCTGTCATGGATTTCTCTGATGGAAGTTCTTTTTCTGAGTGGGGAGAACAGGGATTCATCAACCGGTATCATCTCTGAGTCCATCCTCCGTTCAGGATAGCAACTTCTGTGTTTGTTTTGTATCCACAGGAAGTCAACACCCTGCGCTGCCAGCTGGGAGACCGCCTCAACGTGGAGGTGGATGCCGCTCCCACCGTGGACCTCAACAGGGTGCTGAACGAGACCAGGTGTCAGTACGAGGCCCTGGTGGAGACCAACCGCAGGGAGGTGGAGGAATGGTTCACCACACAGGTAGGCATTGAAGCACACGGTCATTTGGGACTCGAGGCTCACAGACAGAGGCGGCAGCTGACCCTGTCTCTTCCCCTTCTGCTACTGCAGACTGAGGAGCTGAACAAGCAGGTGGTGTCCAGCTCAGAGCAGCTGCAGTCCTACCAGGCAGAGATCATCGAGCTGAGACGCACAGTCAACTCCCTGGAGATTGAGCTGCAGGCCCAGCACAACCTGGTGAGTATTGTTCAGAGTGGCCATGAGCCGTGTGTGGTGGGGGAGGCATCCACAGTGGAGTGTCCCTCAGACCACAGTCCCCTGAGTCCTTGAAGCTCCTGAGTTGTGTGGCAGGCCCTGGAGGAAGGCTTTGCAGGAGTAGCTCCTGACATCCTCATCTTCTCCCCTGCAGAGGAACTCTCTGGAGAACACGCTGACAGAGAGTGAGGCCCGCTACAGCTCCCAGCTGTCCCAGGTGCAGTGTCTGATCACCAACGTGGAGTCTCAGCTGTCTGAGATCAGGTCTGACCTGGAGCGCCAGAACCAGGAGTACCAGGTGCTGCTGGATGTCAAGGCTCGGCTAGAGTGTGAGATCAACACGTACCGGGGCCTGCTGGAGAGCGAAGACTGCAAGTAAGTGCCTTGCTGGAGGGGTTAGATGCCGGCACATCAGGAATTTATTCCCTGATTGCTTGCTCCAGAGATTGCATACCTTAGAAGGGAAGTCCTCTTTCATACCAGCTGTATTCACGTAGAGCTCAGAAAACATATGGTAACCAACAATACATATAGCTATAGGGTTTGGTAGTAAGAGTTGTCCGATGTACAAAGTGAAATGGGACAGAAAATTCTCTGAATTCTACTCTGGTAACCTGTATGATCATGGGATATGTGACCAACATGCCTTATTTTATACAGCACCTTATTGTGAGAGGGTGTATTTGTATATACTACTTATCTGACCCAAAATCACCCCCAGGAAAATTGGATCAGCAATCTTCCTCTTCTGTAGGTGAGGAAGCTAAGATTTGAGAAGCTCACCAGCTAGGAATAGATAGACTGGAGGTAGAGGTTAGAGTTTCTGTCTAGTATTTACTTTGGGGATGCCTATGTTAGTTGTAGCACTTGGAAAGTTTACAGCTGGAGGAGCTTCGGCCTTCCCTGTTCCAGGTCAGGTGGAGTCCTAAGAGGCAGCCCACCCTGGGCGGAGGGCAGGGGGGCGGTGGTGGCAGTGTCTCTGTACTAGATGATTAGACATTTGCCTCTGCTCACTTTTGTGCATCCTTCTTTGTCTCCAGGCTACCCTGCAACCCCTGCGCCACAAGCAACGCGTGCGGCAAACCCATCGGGCCCTGTGTGTCCAATCCCTGTACCCCCTGCCCACCTCCCGCCCCCTGCACACCTTGTGTCCCACGACCCCGTTGTGGGCCCTGTAACTCCTTTGTGCGCTAGAGCCCAGGAAATGCCAAAGGAGCAAGGATGTAGGGCCTAGTGCTCCAGAGCTTTGGCTTGGCTCTGGTTCACTCAACAAACTAAATGGATGGAGCTGCCTCAGTGAGGATGGCCAGGAAACTCACCCGAAGCATCTAACCACCTCAACCTGTTCTAGACCATCCCATGCCCGCCCTTTCCTTCATCAGAATCGCCTTCTTTGCTTGTACCCACAGAACTCTCTGAAGTGCCAGCGGCCCTCCCTTGTAACCTAATAAATGCCTTTTTCCTGGCAAAGCGCATACCTTTCTCATTGGTATTCATCTGTTGCAACATATTCATCACTGGAGGACTCTATTAAAAGCCACTTGAAAGTCGGACCATACAATGACATGGCTCTTGCAGACAAGGGCTGTACCAAACTTGGGAGGCAGATAGCTGGCCTGGCACTCTGCATCCGTAGGAGAGGTTGAGAAGGCAGAGCTACTGTGTTCTGTGCTCCTTGACTCCTGGATTTTTCTCATGACCTGAACCAACTCCCAGAGCTGCTGGTACCCAAATACATATTGAGGAGGCTCTAGAGGCTCTCACTCATCCTTTCTCAGCAGGAGTTGGGGGTCCAGACTTGTTCTAGATCAATGATTCAGGCAGTCTCAGGAACACCCTGGAAAAGAACCTTCTGGCTTTTCTTGATATACCCAGCATTTTCTCCTTTCCCTTGTGTATGAATATTGTTATCAGTGGGGACTTCCAGATGCTCCACTCATCTCCTCGGCTGTAGGTCTAGAAACTCCATCAATTTGTTGCTTTGCCTTTTATTTATTGATTTATTTTTCCAATTCAACCTATCCTGTACTTGTTCAATTCCTACTTGGAAGGTTCTGGGTGGTGGCGTTGGGAGAGACATATCGTGACAACTGCAAGTAATTTATTTAAAAAGAAAAGAAAAGAAATGTGTCCCCAAGTAGTGCTATTATAAATCACCAGGTTGGTGGTGGTAGCAAATATCTGAGTGCTATAAGGGGGTAGTTAGCCTCCGTATGTGTGAAGAAAGGGCTTCTTTAATTTTAATGAATATTTGTGTAAGGGACCCATATTAGCTTCCTAATGCCTTTGATATTGCCAGTGTACTCTGGTAAACACAATCCGGTGAACTGAAATGATATATTTTCCACAGTGGCTGCACCATTCCTACCGAGAAAGGTTCCAATACTCCCCTGAACTTGTTATTTTCTACCTGTTGGTTTTAAAATAATATCCATCTGGAAAGGGGTATGAAGTGGTATCTCACTGTAGCCTTCAACTTGTGATCCATTTGCCTCAGTCTTCCCAGCAGATGTTATAGTGTGACACTGTGCCTGGCTCTTGCATTTCCCTAATGATTAATGCTGTTGAGAATCTTTTTAAGTGTTTATTGGTCATTTGCATATCTTCATTGGAGGAATGTCTATTCAAATTCTTTGCTCATTTTAAAGTTTTTTTAAAATGTTTTCTTCTGTGAGTTTTATAATTTTAGATCTTAGGTTTAGGTTTTTTCATTTCTTAGATTTTCACCTCTCTTAGATTTCAGAAAAAGTTGGGGCTGGGAAAGTGGCTCAGTGGTAGAGCACTTGCCTTGCATGCTTAAGGCCCTGGATTCGATTCTTCAGCACCCCATAAACAAAAAGAAAAAAGCCGGAAGTGGCGCTGTGGCTCAAGTGGTGGAGCACTAGTTTTGAGCTGAAGAGCTGAGGGATAGCGCCCAGGCCCAGAGTTCAGGCCCCACGACCAGACCCCCCCCCCTCAAAAAAAAAAGTCAATCTAATTTCTAACCTGGATAGTTCAGTCAACTATGCAGAACTGCTGTTATCTTGGGAAGAAAATTAAATTAGTGAAACTTGTATTCATCTTAGGAGAACATCAGAGAGAAACCAGATGCCTAAGGTCATAGGCAGAGGAGGTACTTGGGGGACTGATGGAGTATAGAAGGAAGGTGGGAACTTCAGACCAGAGAGAAAAACTGAAATGAGGGGCAGTAGACAGCAGTGAATCTAAGACTTCCTTCCCCTCTGAAAATCAGAAAAGACTCTGGGTCATGGGGCTTGAACTCAGGGCCAGGGTGCTATTCGTAATCTTTTTTGATCAAGATTAGTGTTCTACCACTTTGAGCCACAGCTCCACTTCCTCTTTTTTGGTGTTTATTTGGAGCTGGCTTTGAACCTGGATCCTCAGATCTCAGCTTCCTGAGCAGCTAGGATTGTAGGTGTGAGTCACTGGTGCCTGGCAATAGAAGGATTTTTAACAATATATTTAGGTGCTTCAGGCTTTGCTTTCAGCTACCTGAATCACTCAACTTCCAACCCCAACACACATTGACTATATTTTAGGCAAATTTTAAACATTTTCCAATTGGTTTTCTTTTTATTTTATTTTATTTGTGAACATACTGTACAGAGGGGTTACAATTACATGGGCAGGATAATGCATACATTTCTTACCAAGCATTGCTGCCTCCTCCTTTGTTTACCCTTCCAATTGGTTTTCTTTATCTACAAAAAGGAAATAACCCAATCTTACTGAGTTGTCTGGAAAAATCAGTAACAAGTATTCACGACATGGTACCATCATCATCATCATCATCATCATCATCATCATCATCATCATCATCAATGAACAACAATACTGACATTATAATTATGAATGCTTGTACAGAGCCTTAAGGCTTGGGGGGGGGAGGGTTCCCATAAGATGAACTGAATCCATTTCCATGCCAGTATCAGGAGTTGTTGGTGGCAATATACCTCATGGAGTAAACTTATTCTCCTCAAGAATCATTCAAAATAAGAAAACCAAATGCAAAAGATGAGAGAAGGTGACAGACAGTGATCATCTACCAATGTCTACAAGTTATTAAGTTGGTGTCAAAATTTGTTCCCCCACCTCCACCCTGGTAAATCCATGCACAGAGATTTCTGTGTCCCTTAGTGCTTGCTAGGTCCCTACCATGTTAACATGGACAATGTGCCCAGGTATCTGGATTTATGTGAAATTCTTTATCTGAACCATCTAGGTCAAAAATAGGAAGGACAAAGTTTTAAAAAGTAATCATTGCTACCCCATCCTTCAACCACAATAATATCACACACACACACACACACACACACACACACACAGACATCCAAAAACACAGACACATACACACTGTGAGGTACAGAGCATCATTATTACTTAAAAGATGAAGAAAATATGACTCAGAAAAGGGAACTGACTTCTCTGAACTTATATCATAAGGAGGGATGTGAATTATTTAAGTTCAAACCTTTGCTTCTGGGGAATGACATCAGCAAGATGGTGAAATGTTCAGTCCCTGACTCTTGTTTCTCCCATGATTCACAGAGTCAATATACACAGGTCAATTCCCTTTGTGGGAAATCCACTAACTAGGCTCTTGCACCTGAGGTGAACAGAACCAGCCAAAGTGAAGCTGAGGAAACATTTATGATACCTTTTTTCCACATTCCCTAACCCCAACACAATGACCAGGAAGAAACCTCCAGTCCTTGGCATCTGTGTGGCAAGGAAAGGAAAAGATTGGATCATACATGCCATACTTATATTCCCCCCCCCCAAGAGTTTCTAATGCAATCAATTCTGTCTTGTCTGTCTTGGGGTGCTAATGAGATTTAGTATATTTATACAGCTAGGAGCCATTGAGAACAAAGACAACAATTTATACTGGCATCATAACATTTGCCACGGCCCTCTTCCTTAGCTCCATGCAGGATGAGAAATCCTCCAGATTCCAGATTTTCCTTGAGGAGAGAAAGAGTTGGATCATGTGTCCATATCTCCAACTTTTCTGGAGCCTGCTTGAAGAGCAGTCTTCTTATTTCTGTCAGAGTATAGACAGGATTTCATATATCCCAGATAGCTGGAGGCCTCAAAGAACAAGAATATAGTTCGGACTAGCTCCAAAATTCCAGAGGCCTCCAGAATCACAGCCTGAGCTGATTGATGATAATCCCCTATCTAAAGTGAGTCTGTGAGAACTGAAAAAAGTGGTGGCTATTTTGTCTCATGCCCAGATACTAGTGGAGTCAAGGAGCATAAAAACAAGGGATAATGTACCAAACACAAGGATATAATAATCTTCCAAATCCCAGTGAAATGGATGAAGAGTTATTTACATGAAAGAGAATTTAAAACAACTACCGGAAAGATATTCTATAAGATCAGGGGAAACTTTCAACAGTTGAGCACAGAGAGAATTTCAATGAAGAGATGGGAAATATATCATGTCCCAATGGACAGTAACTTAAGTGTAAAATTCACTACAAGGTTTTAAGAGCACATTACATCAAGCAGGAGAAAAGAACATCAAACTAAAAGATGGGCCTGAGCAACAAAGAACGAAAATAAGTAAAGAAAGCATAAGGGATTTCTGGGATATCAGTATGCAGATTATTGTACACATATGCTTTCTTTACTTGAGGTATTACTGTTACACTAAAAGGAAAGCAAACCTAACAGAAACTAAGACTTGATTATTTGAAATGATACACTAAGTTCATGCATAGGCCTTTAGACTAAGGGGGAAATAAAGAAAGGCTCAGATAACTAAAATCAAAGGCACATTTCTTTTGTTCCTCTACTATTGCCTTTGATGTTTGAACACAACCTTCTTTAAACGATTTATATTTTCTTCCATAAATTGAATTCAGTTGAGATTTTTTTTTCTGAGCCATGCCTTAGTTTCTAAGTAGAAGCAAGGAAAGATAGTGTATCAGGAAAAGAAGTTGAGGTGAGGGACAGCACTGCAGTAAGGTTAACTTTGGTGTAATGGGAATATTCCTAAGGGTATGGGAAAGACAAAGGGCAATGGCATTGGGGGTGATGGAGAAGACCACCATCTTGTAGAACAGTGTCTGTGCTGGCATTATCCCTACCTCAGGTCCTCAGCCACTCCCGCTACATTTCCCGGGACAGCTTGTAGCCCCCAGCTCCACCCGGACCCGGACCTGAGCTCCTCCCTGCCCTAGAATTCCTGCCAGGACAGCTGGCCACTTCCATTCTCTACCCAGACCTACCTGTGTATATAGAGGACCTCCCACAACTAGGCCCAGACTTCAAGCTACCATCTGGTTAGGGGCAGACGCCATAGTTCTCGCTTTCCTCAGGGGCAAGGTGGCTCCACTAATAAACCTCTTTATAATCCCTTTCCTCCTGTCCATGCCTGCCTCTACATGGCCCACTGGGATGGTTGGGATGGATTTTTTTTCAGTCTACTTCTTTCTTTTATTTTTGTCAGTTATGGGGCTTGAACTCAGGGCCTGGGTGCTGTCTCTGAGCTTTTGAGCTCAAGGCTAGTGCTCTGCCACTTTGAGCTACAGCTCCACATCTGGTTTTCTGGTGGTTAATTGGAGATAAGAGTCCCATGGACTTTTATGCCCAGACTGGCTTTAAACTGCAATCTTCAACCTCTTGAGTAGCTAGGATTACAGGAGTAAGCTACTGGTGCCCGGCTCAGTGTCTGCTTTTTGAGGGTGATGGAGCTAAGTTGTATTTTCTTGGGCACTGTAACCTGGGAACTCAGGTGGCAGGATCATACTTCTAAGGGTGTTATTGTTCTTAGAAAAAGGTGTATTTTTAGGACTCAGGTGGGAAAAATTTCTATAGACTTTGAGATCAAGTCATCACGGAAAGTGCCAAACATCTCACTCTGGTGTCCTTTCTTGATGAATATTAGTAATATTAGGCTTCCTACTTAGAATTCAGTGCTGCCGCTTGAACTCTCACCCTTCTGGATTATTCCCAGTGTCACCTTTCAAAAATACCTTTTCCTTTTCTCAGTTTTAGATTGACTGTTGCTTTAGTGCAGTTTGCCAAACCTTTCTTTGCACAGGGCCAAGTAGCAGATGTTTTAAGCTTTTCTGACCTTAAGCTCTGGCATAACACTTACCTTAGCTACTGTGATTCAAACACATTCACAGGTAATGCCAAAATGAACGGGCACGGTTGTATTCCATTAAAATTTCAGCTGCAAAACATGCAGCAGGCTGAACTTAGCTTCAGACTGTGTGTTTCCCTCAAGCTACATGAACCTGACCCCAGAAACCCCTCGAATCTTAAAGATTCCACCATCTCCCAAAAATGAACCGTGAGGATCAAATGCTGGGTGCAGCTTGCCGGTTGTTGGTGGCCAATTCTCTTGTTGGTATGATTTCCAACCATCCAGTTTACATCTTGCTTGATCTTTTCCAGACTAGCAACACGCAGTCTCTCCAGGTACTGGCCGAAACTCTAAACCCCAACTAATAGCAGCAAGGCTCAGGAACCTTCCAGCTAATACAGGGTATAAGAATACTCAAATATGGGTAGAGAGTCAGGGGAAGAGGGCAACTTGGAAAAATATTCACCCAACAATTGTCTTTCTAGGGAATATGGTGACATAATCTTATGGGAGGAGCGCTTCTGATTGATTCCCAAGCAACTCCACCCCATGTTCCTGGTTGTTATCCCCTCTGAGTAATGGCCTGAGCCTCTTGGAGACGTGATGATTCTAGCTCCTTTGAAGCCATCTGATGAAACTCTTAATTCCATCAACCAACAGTGCCCAGGAAGAGCCTGGGGTGACACAAGCTAAATGGAATAATTTTATGGGATGAGGGGGGACTCTGTGGAAGCATCTAAGTAGCATATTTTGAAGAAAAAAAATTAGCTAAAGCATTAGGAAAGGAAATGATGCTGTTTTCCTAGGACCCCACCCACCATTAAGAGTATAAAAGGACCATGGAGGAAGGAGAGACTCAAACCTCACTCACATCTACCTCCATAGCTCACCGCCCTCCCATTGCCTCTCAGCACCATGGCTTGCAACTGCCTACCCAACCTGAGCTGCCGCACCAGCTGCGCCTCCCGGCCTTGCATTCCTCACAGCTGCCACAGCTGCACCCTGCCCGGTGCCTGCAACATCCCCGCCAATGTGGGCAACTGCAACTGGTTCTGCGAGGGCTCCTTCAATGGCAGCGAGAAGGAGACCATGCAGTTCTTGAACGACCGCCTGGCCAGCTACCTGGAGAAGGTGCGTCAGCTGGAGCGAGAGAATGCAGAGCTGGAGAGCCGCATCCAGGAGAGGAACCAGCAGCAGGACCCACTGGTGTGTCCCGCTTACCAGTCCTACTTCCGGACCATTGAGGAGCTCCAGCAGAAGGTGAGGGGGTAATGTGGAGACTCCGCAACAGCTGGCTCTTTTGTTAAAACCTCATGTTATAACCACTGCTTTTCTTTCTTTCTTTTCTTTTCTTCAGATTCTATGTGCCAAGTCTGAGAATTCCAGGCTGCTGGTGCAGGTTGACAATGCCAAGCTGGCCTCTGATGACTTCAGGACCAAGTATGTTGAACCCTTTTGGGACAGATGACCTACAAGACCCTGGGGGCTCTACTATGGCCCTATGGCCCAATGTTTTCTGGAAGGGCAGAGGAAGTTACCCCTTCCTTTTTCTTTTTCCTCTGGTTATGTGAATCAATATCAATCATCTAGACTCATGGATCAGCCTTCTCTTCAGCCCACACAGGTTGAGTGTCCTTTTCCTGAAATGCTTGGGACCAGAAGTGTTTCAGGTTTTGGATTTTTTTTTCTTTTATTTGGTTCTGAGACCAGGACTGAAACTTTGTATCTGAAGCTTTGGCTCATTGGCTGGTGCTCTACCACCTGAGCCAGGCCTCCAACCTTGGATTTTAATTGTTTTTTAGAATTCTTACACATACACATATATAAAATGAAATATCTTTAGGGATGGAACCCAAGTCTAAGTCCCGAATTTCATTTATGTTTTATGTATAACATACATATACCATGGAAGTAATTTTGTAAAGTGTTTTTAATAGGGTTTTGCCAATGATTTGTCATGTATGGAATCATGCCATCATGGTGTTATGTCAAAGTTCAAAGAGTTTCAGATTTTTGAGTTCCAGAATTTAAATTTTTCTCCCTCCCTCCCTCCCTCCCTCCCTCCCTCCCTCC